TTGTAATTTCCTGTATTCCAGTGACTAGGATCAACATATGACAGTAACAATCTACTGACAATAATGCAGTGAACTAGAAAGATTTTTATCTAAAGATACTATGAAATGAAATATTATTTCTAAGATCAAACTTAGAGACTTTTATGCTTATAATGAGTTAGTTAGATTAAAATAATAGTTTAGCTGAAGTATGTATCATGCTGCTCGAATGAAAATATACTTATGTTTTCAATTGATTAATAAATAAACTGACAATCTAGCCTGGCTACAGGTACTCAAAAAAAAAAAAATAATAATAATTATAAACATTATTTTCCAAAATAAGATTTACTGTATATGCATACGTAATGTAAAAATTGCGTCAGCAGTTTCGCAAAGATCTACTACTTGCAGACTCAATTCTCGTATATAAAGAAATTTTTTTTCGTGATCTTTCGCAATTATTGAATCACCATTAAATCCATAATGTCTTCTTCTAGTTCCAACTCAGAAGCTGAAAGGCGCGCCAAAGCTTTGCAAGATTATCGTAAAAGTTTATTAGAACACCGTGAAACAGAAGCAAAAGTTAAAGAGAGTGAGTAATGCGAACTTGACGAAACACCGGTTTACTGCCTCTCGAAAAGAATAACTTTTGATTAAAAAAACCCAATAGAAGAACGTTTTGTTTGGATGGTTTATAGTCGTCTTTAGTCAGTACTCCTGATTATACATGTACGTTTGTAACGTCATGACGTTGTCCTGACCAAATTTTTCTTCACTTTACACGCGAAGATTTGTAGGGGTTATTTGTTAATCAAATGCGCTTTCATATATACGTGGAAAACATAATTGTAAACCAATTTATTTAAAATTTCGGTTCTGTTAATGATTTTGTAGTTCGACTTGGACTGCGTGAACTCGAGAAGCAATATGATAAAACTGAAGAAGACATCAAAGCCCTACAGAGTGTAGGTCAAATCATAGGGGAAGTGTTGAAACAATTAGATGAAGAACGATGTGAGTAATTTTATATATAAGTTCGTATCAATCAAATACATTATTAAGTAATATTAAACCTCTCCAGTTATCGTGAAGGCTTCTTCCGGTCCACGATATGTGGTTGGGTGCCGTAATAAAGTCAATAAAGAAAAGCTTAAACAAGGCACGCGTGTAGCTTTGGACATGACAACTTTGACCATTATGCGCATGTTGCCAAGGGAAGTAGATCCATTGGTGTACAATATGAGCTTGGAAGACCCTGGAAAGATAAATTTTGCAGGCATTGGGGGGCTTAGCGAACAAATTCGAGAACTTCGTGAGGTAATACTAATTATAATTTCTTAACAATTGTTCTATTTATTAGTCTTAATCTGAAGATACATTCATTGATGCTTAGGTTATAGAACTACCATTGATGAATCCCGAACTTTTTCTTCGTGTTGGTATTAAACCACCAAAAGGTGTTCTCTTATATGGTCCTCCAGGCACTGGAAAAACTCTCCTGGCTCGTGCCGTTGCTAGTACTTTAGAAACAAATTTTTTGAAAGTTGTTTCAAGTGCCATTGTTGATAAGTATATCGGAGAGAGTGCGAGATTAATTAGAGAAATGTTTGGATATGCGAAAGATCACGAGCCTTGCATTATTTTCATGGACGAGATTGACGCAATTGGAGGGAGACGTTTCTCCGAAGGCACAAGTGCAGATCGTGAAATTCAGAGAACCCTTATGGAGGTAATTCGTGTTTTTATATACTTAATAATGTACAAATTCATGCTAATTTTGGTTTTTTAAATTAGCTGTTGAATCAAATGGATGGTTTTGATTATCTTGGACAAACGAAGCTGATCATGGCTACTAATAGGCCGGATACTTTAGATCCAGCTTTACTACGACCTGGACGATTGGATCGTAAGATTGAAATTCCATTGCCAAATGAACTGGGACGTCTTGAGATTTTGAAAATCCATTCCGCACCTATAACCAAACATGGCGATATTGGTGAGTACATTTTGATTTCTCATGCCTATTAGCTTGCATGTTAGAATCCAAATATGTTAATCACAAAAACATTAGATTATGAAGCCATTGTAAAATTATCTGATGGATTTAATGGCGCAGATTTGCGAAATGTGTGCACGGAAGCAGGTCGGTTAGATATTTCAAACCTTTTTAGCATTTTATAGCTGATTTATGATTTTCTATATTAATGATATCTTTTATTGTTTCAAATATTTTATAATGTTATATAAAATCTATATGTATTGATAGGCATGTTTGCTATTCGTGAAGAAAGAGATTATGTTGTTCATGAGGATTTTATGAAGGCAGTTAGGAAGGTTGGAGATGCTAAGAAGTTAGAGTCAAAACTGGATTATGAAAAATTATAAATAATGAAATGAATTTCAGTGAACATTTCTAGATATCAATTGTATTATTTATATAAATTTTATTAATTACATGCGTGACTCTGTCGAATGATGCTTCGCATACCTCGAATTTTACAAAACGGGCAAAATAATAAATAATGGATACAACATGTAGGATGATATTTTTCAGATTTACGTGATTACACGTGAAAACAAGTTAGTCATATGACTTAGCATGACGTTCCACTAGATGTCAAACAAATAACGATTCTCTTTTTTTTTTTGGATTTCTTCACAAATATAATGCCAAAATCAAAAAGAAAAAGAATAGGTATTTTTTAGTTTAAAATTACGCGCCCGATCTATTAAAGTTTCTTATAATTTTCACTTCAAATTCATATAACACGTAGTTCCGCTGACCGTGGTCAAGAAAAAGAAATATGAAGATAAATCGACAGCAATTCAAAAAGTATGCTCGTTAGATCTGTATAATATTAATAAACTTATTTATTTTAGTTCAATTGTTTCGTGCGTAATTAGATTCAAGACGCAGTTAAACAATTCAATCATATATGGAGGATAGAAGCACGAGAAATGCGGAATCAGTTTTTGCAACAAGTTAGAGTAGATTGGGCAACAACAGGAAGGTCCGTGTCCAATCTCAATCTTTATAAGACAATTTATAAAACAAATTCTTAAAACATATTAATTACAAATTATCCCAAAAGAATCTTCTTTACCAAGAATTCTCTTATTAGGAAAGCATTGGGAGAAGACAGTTCCTCCGAATGTGAAAAAAATATATCTGAATTTGCCAATGTAGGCTTCTATTATATCATTCTTATCTCATCCCGAACCACAATTAATCCTTTACCTAACCTAATTTTTAAAGGTAATTGAAAATGAAGCAGGCATATTATGTACTAATCAATCCATAGAAGTTGTCAAAGAATATTTAACAAATTTTGTTCGGAAAGATTTTGCAAGAACCGGAAGTATCGTGAATCAAACTGTGACGATTCCTGCAGGCCTAGTTAAATACGGTGGTGACATCGATGGTCAGCCAGTACCACACACTTTAAACCAGATGTTAAATAAATTAGGGTTACCTTCGGTCTTGGATAAACAGATGGTAATGATGCCCGATGAATTCACTATTTGTAGGAGTGGAGATAAATTGAGTGAGGAACAAGCTCATTTGTTGGTAAGCACTGCACGTATACTCTTTAAATTTGGAATTATATTGAAATTAATTAATTAATTGATTTTTCTTTTTTTTTTATAGAGACAACTAGGATATCAACTTTCGGAGTTTAGATTAGTTGGTACACATTATTACGATAAACTAAAAAAAGAAACTATTACATTATAATTATGTAATTATATTATTTAGGCGGTAAAAAAAATAATAAATAAAATTTTTTATTTTTATTATTGTATTTTTTTTTTTTTACTGTATCTAATATAATTATTTTGATTTGGGTTAGAACTTTAATCATTTTATATCATATTTAATTCTATTTGTTAGAAATTTTATAGTAAGATTAATAATTCTGCAATATACTGTATATTGTATATTTATTATTACTAAATAGAATTATTATATATAGTAAAATCAATACTTTTATTAAATATACATACAATATGTAATAACAATTATTTAATAAATATTGAATTATAAAACTTTTTTTGTCGATCCTTTAATTATATACAAAAAAGATGTTGCAAGAAGTTTTTATTAATAAAATCTTAATATATTCTTTAAAATAACTTGAAACATGATTTCAAGAGTTATTTTTATTTTTTTTCTATTGTTTACAATCTTTTTATTTAAAAACTTGACTTTTAGTAATCAAGAAAAGTCAAGTAGCACTTTTGATATTAATGGTAAGAAAGTTTTTAAAGAAAAAAGAATTAATTATAAAATATCTAAAAACTTTTTCAATTTTTAGAGTAAGAGATTTATAGAGATTTTTTATAATAAAAAAGTTTATTTTCTTTCTTTTTAACTATAATTATTTGATTCTTTTAAAGTTTTTACTTTCACAATTTTCTAAAAAATTTTATTTATTTCAATTTGATCCTAAATTTTAAATAATACAAATTCTTATCAAAAGTAATTGACTGATGTTAAATATATTGATTTTTAAAATGTATATAAATATAAAAATTAAGAAATAAATAATATGAATTGCAAACTCTTATCTCTTATCTAAGTTTTTTGAATAGTAACAAAGTTTTAATAAATAAAGTTGAAATTTAAATATTTTTCTTAAAATATTTCAATTTATATAGTATTTACTTAAATGAAGAACTAGTTAAATTAATTTATTTAATATTATAGATAGTAATAAAAATTTTTTTCTAAAATTCTAATAAAGCAAAAAGACTATTTCAATTAGATAATAAATTTTTGAGAAGAGGTTATTTTATTTTTAAAATTTTTAATAAATCTTAAATTATTTTTTTTTCATTATTTTTTTCTTTTTTCTTTAATTTAACAATTTATTGATTTCTAAATCAATTAAAAATAATAAATTAATAATAATAATTATAATATATAGTAGTTGTTTTAATAATATTAGGAGAGTATTGTTTTCAAAATCTAACTTAAAGTATTTATATATAATTCTTTTCACTGATCCTTTAATCACATACAAAAAAAATGTTTGCAAGAAGTTTTTATATTTCTTTGCTAATAAAGTATTAATACTTTTCTTAAAATAACTTGAAGTATAACTTCAAAAGTTATTTCTACCCTTCTTCTATTGTCTACAAACTTTTTTATTCAAAAACTTGACTTTTAATAATAAAAAAAAATCAAGTAATACCTTTAATATCAACAGTAAAAAAGTTTTCAAAGGAAGAAGAACTGACTATGAAGTATTTGAAAATCTTTTTAACCTTTGAAGCAAGAAATTTATAGAGATTTTTTACAGTAAAAAGACTTATTTTCTCCCTTTATAACTGTCTTAGCCCTTTTAGAACTCTCATTATTTTTATGACTTTCTAAGAAATTTTGCTTACTTTAGTTTGACACTGAATTTTGAATAACATAAATCCTCATCAAAGGTGATTGGCTGACATAAAACATATTAGTTTTTGAAATATAAACAAGCTCCTATTGATTATACTTATATGCTTTCATATATTATTGATAATATAGGAAAGAAAGTTTTAGAAAAAGTATTTTCTTCAATTATATATGTTCAATCTCCAGGAAACAATTATGATATTGAAATATGAGCAATAAGTAGGAAAAAAAGAATTAACTTCCATTTTTTATTAAGTTTCTTGGGTGGTGAAAAGGCTTTTTTGAATATAGCCTGACAGAGGGTTAAAAAAAAAAAAAAAAAAAAGGCTTTTTTGAACAAAAGCTGAAGTCTTCAAACTTTTATATTGGTTAGGCAAAGTTTTTGAAAAGATTTTTTTATCCCAATTAGACAAATTCTTCTGAAATATGGTGCTGGCTCCAGTAGTATTAAGCAAATCTATACATTAATAAAAAGATAAGTTTCACAAACATTTTTTTTGAAATTACTTTTAAGAATGGTTAAGTTCCTTAAATATTATGAAGCTTAAAAAATATTCCAATTAGACAAATCTCTTTTAAGAGAAAACTGTAAAATGAAGCAAGAATCTTTTAAAGGGCTTTGAATTATATTTTCTTTTCTCCTTATTTCCAGTATCAACTTTAGCAATTCATTATTTTTTGAAATAATCAACAATGACAAACTATTAACAATGATCCTAATTAACTTAGAGACTTCATGCCAAGCTACTAGAAAAGTATAATATTGTTCCCTAAATCTGACTTAGAATACCTAGTTTAGACTTAGTTTTGTTTAGTTCAAACTAGCTTAGTAGACTCCTTATATTTTTTAAGTAATATAGTTCTTTAACTAATATTGTATAATAATAAGTTGGTTATTTTGTAAAAGTCTATAAATATTATGATATCTTTCAATATCTTAATAAAGATATGCTATTGTGACATAATTGCAGATTAAAAAAAAAAATTTAAAATACTTATATACAATATGTAACAAAACTTTTTGGAATTCTTTATTAATTTATAACTTAATAAAAAATTATCTTAAATAATATAAAAATTTAAATATATTATTTTTAAAAATTAAAGAATAAGGTTACTTAAGACTATTTATATAAGTTTTATATTAAATTTTTTATTTAATTTCCAAAAAAATTACTTATAAAATTGATTTATAAATTTTTTATTATGTTTTTACTATACAAAATCAGTATAAAAATTTACCAAAAAATTTTTTACTTTTTATAATTCAATAAAAAAT